AGGTATTGGATTGAATCAATATTCCAGGTATTGGATTGAATCATGAAAATTAAAAGATTGAATTGAACCATGGCAACAGCACACACCTTAGCCAGAATGCGAGAATAAACGCTTCTGTGCTTAACGGTGACTCTTGCCAAAAACGGGGGCCAAAACATAAATAATTTAAAAGTAATGGTGAATTAGGCATAGGCACTTGAAAAGTATGTTCGGCCACCTTGAGGTCACGGCTGAATAACTTCCAGTTCGAGATTTTAAATAACAACAACAAGCCATAATTTTTGCGAAGGATTGGAATGAAGTATATTCTTCCCCCGTGTGATTTCCAAAATGTTGACTACAGTTACGCAGATGAAAAATATAAACGGTACCGCTAAAATCTGTGAGTTTTTGAATGATATTAACATCAACAGATCCCAAATAACACTTGATGAGAGAGAACTCTGCTTCAAACTCTAAAACAGATGCCTGGTTAAAAATCAAAATTTTCGTTGCTGTTGTGGCAATTGGCACAGTTAGACATCACCAATAGCACAGTGCAACGTTGAACCTCTTTCACGAGTGGTTACAACTGGTTTCACCCGGCTTCTACACTTCTCGTTTTGAGAACTTTAACACTTACGTTAAGCAAACGATAAAATTTTGAACTGACTTGGTTCTCTATCAGACTGCGCATCTTAATTCTGCCATTCGCGCATAACCACAATTCCTTGCGCCTTTGATCTTACGCTACCACAACTCCTCGCTTTTCGCAAAAAAGGCCCCTACAATGTGACCTTTTCCCGACCAGAGAGCTGCCTCGTTCGTTCGCTTTAGGCTCACTCACTGCGGCAGCAGCAACTCTGACATCGCAGCTTTGCGGAGGTTTACTTCCTATGTAGTGTACAACAACCTGGAGGACTAGCGAAGATTATTATTGACCAACAAATCATCCCTCGCTTAAAAGGCTAATTATAATTGACAACTGATATAAGTTTTCTTATCGGCCTCTCCTGCCAACTTGGTTATTAATAGGGGATTTAAGAAAACCACGACGTTTTAAGAAAAGTTTGATAGTAGAACAATTTCAAGGAAATTACCTTAATGACTGCACGTGCATTATAATTCTTGGAACATTTCTTTGCCATCCTCTGAAAAAATACAACGAGAAATGACCAAATTCTGCATTGTCTGTAGAACGTGAACGACGGAGGCTAATTTTCTAATTTACATTCGAAATTTAACGCTGTGTTCCATATTCAATTTCGAGAAAGTTTTGACAGTGAGAAACAAACTAAATGCCTTCAGGGCATCTCGATTTTCGTAAGTAAAATACAAGTTCCTTCTTCAATCGACGTTGCCCTCGGCGTCGACGTCGTGGTTTCTTAAATTCCCTAATTCAGAGAATCTTAAAAGCTAGTTAATAATCTGACCAAAGTTCGAAAGGGACTGGGTCCGAGGTTATAAATGATTACATGACATCTTACTTGACTACGTAACGTTTTGGTGGATAGTGACAAGAGCTTTCAAATTTAATTAAAATCAGAATTGTTTTGGTTATGGG